TCAGAAAAACATTGAGTATGTATCTAGCTTAAGATTATTATTGTTTAAATTTCTGCTCATTTATATCTATGCATGTGATTGTTAGCCTGAGTGTGTGTGCATCTTTGTGTGAGTGTGTGTGTGTGTGTGTGTGTGTGTGTGTGTGTGTGTGTGTGTGTGTGTTTGTTTGTGTGTGTGTGTTTGTGTGTGTGTTTGTGTGAGTGTGTTTGTGTGTGTGTGTGTGTGTGTTTGTGTGTGTGTGTGTGTGTGTGTGTGTGTGTGTGTGTGTGTGTGTGTGTGTGTGTGTGTGTGTGTGTGTGTGTGTGTGGGTGTGTGTGTGCACGTTGTACTTTGATACCAGTACGATGAATTTGTCTTTTTGAAAAGTTTTATGCCTGACTGTCTCCTCCACACAAACTAGCCCACCTTCAACATAGTGTGTTGTGTCAATAAAACTTGTTATTCTCAGGCAAGGAAATGGATACTGTTTAAAGGTAACCGCAAACTGATGCAATTCATCAAAAAAGGCCGTTTCGAAAACCCGGATGACGACTCGACAGACGAAGTGAAAGTTCAACTCGCAAACCATAGTGCCAGGTAAAGAAACTTTAAAGTCGATCAAAAGTTCATAATATGATAGTTGGGTGTTTGCCAACATCATTCCGTGCTGTTCATTGCAAGAATAGCAGCTGCTGACAATTTACCGAGAAGACCGTAAATACCAATAATCAAACTGATATAAAAATTATGATCGTAATCTCACCTGCCTCGCGATACGAAGTAAATAAATATTGTGACATAACACACATCATACAATCAGATATCTTTGACACTAGCGGCAACTTTTTGAGTAACACTTTTTTGTAACAGGTATATAGTAAATGGAACAAAACGTTGCTATAAAAACTGTCATACGTAAAGCAGAAGATCTGTACCAGTCCCCCCAAAAATGTACTTATCTCTCCGGTCAAAGAAAGAAAAAAAATCATGTAACGTTAAAATGATTGCCTTTTCGTTCCCTATTAAATCATACATAGATCTACCTATAACGGTTTGTGCTCTGTGCATCATCAAGTCAGAAATCCCATTTCCGCTTACTTTTCCCTGCAAATGTTAACAGAACTCCTATTCCATACATTCCGAGAGTTTCGAATTATGCAATGCGATTTCGTTCTTTCCTGAAGCTCAAAGATGACCTGGGGGCTCTCGTGGCCTAGAGGTTACGGTGTTGGCCTTTCATTCAAAGGTCACGGGTTCGAATCCGGGTACCGACCGAAACATTTTCTTCTCTAAAATTGTCTCCTTTCACCTCCTTTCCTGCTTCCTAGCAATGTTCTGTTGTCTGCTTTCATTTCCGCTTTCTGCCCCCATCCCCTCACCTCCTTACCCCCTCCTCGGGGCTCCTGACTCTTCCTGCAGCCTTTCTACTGCTACTCCTTGGCTCCTCCTTACTGCTGTCTTTCTGCCACACCCCTGATCTTCTGGTAGGAAAGATCTACACCTAGCCTTCTCGGACAAGGGCGAAAAATCTTGGAGGGCCCGTGTGCAAGTTGCGCACGTTAAAGACCCCTTGGTGGTCTAAAATCGATAAGAGTAGGCTTCGGCCGCCACCCGGGCAAAATTCCAAATTTCCTACTAACTGAAAAAATTATGTGTGTCCCGCGCGCTCATATGACCTTTTGCAGTTGCGAGCGCCGTAAAGCGCTTTACAAAAACAAAACAAAAGATGATCTCCTCCCCACGATACATTACGCAATGTCATTTTCAATGTACATGTACGTTCGTACTTCACTGACTTTTTTCTGTTGACGCAGTACATTTATCAAAGGATTAACAATAAAGACCAGAAAACCTTACCGGAGATCCCTCTCTACACAGCTTAACCAGACCAGGGTATTTGTGTTGTGATCGCACAACGTCATTTGTCAGTAACATAACCAATTTCTCCTCAGGCTGGAGAAGCAGTCTCAGCTCCTGCAGACAGCTTTGGAGACTATTCAGCATCTGGCTGAGAGACTGGAAACTCAGACAACTAAGTCATCCCTGGGTCCCTTCTCGCCCCTCGTCGTGGACCAACCAGCACGATTCAAACAACACAAACTGTGAACCCAATTTGACGGGAGTGTTCACCATGCCTACTGATTTTCAAGAACATCGCTTGTGTCCCTCGAGATAAAAATCACTTCACTGCTTAATTAAAAGAGCAGGTGGTTCAACCCCTTACCCGCCAGTCCTGTTTTACAAAATTATCAAGAGCCCAATACAGTTTAAGACAAGGACGTTATGGGGAGAATGGCAAATAATGCTGAGGACATCTGTGTTCGAAACTTGCATCGTTCTTTTTTTTAAAGGTAAAAAACTCACATCGCCTTCACTAGTTCTAAACCTGAAGATTATGTCGAAGCTGTGTCTTGGCGACTCCGTCAAGGGTGACTTCAGATGTCTTGTGATGTGAATTTCTCTCACATAAAAAGTAACAGTTTTATTCTGACTGGTATTAAAGAAAAGAATCAATCCAAAAGTCTTGTGCCCAAGGCTTGTATAGGAGTCTGTGAAAGAAAAGTACTCTATCTATCTATCTATCTATCTATCTATCTATCTATCTATTTATCTATCTATCTATCTATCTATCTATGATTTATCTATCTCTATCTATCTATCTTTCTCTCTCTTCCCCCCTTCCCTCTCTCCTCCTCTCTCTCTCTCTCTCTCTCTCTCTCTCTCTCTCTCTCTCTCTCTCTCTCTCTCTCTCTCTCTCTCTCTCTCTCAAAATTTGGAAAACACATTGTTTTTTTCAAAGTCGTCAATTCTTCTCTCACAGAGACTTATAGCTAGGCATACAAACACTCAAGCCCGGTTTTTCGAGAGGAAGACATAAGCATGTGCACATTTATGCTTACAGGCAAAATATGGAGACAGGAAGAGTTGTGTACGTGTGTGAAAATGAATCGGGGCTGGGGAGAAATATCTGTGAAATTGATGGGTGTGTGTGGGGGGGGGGGGGGGGCAAACGTGAGAGGATGGAGAGACTAGAGACTGTGAAAGAAGGTAAAAAGCAAACGGGCTGGAGAGAAAGGAAAAGACACCTTTTAAAGCTACACTTTAGGAGCCAAGTTCCATCCACATGGTTGTTTATGCAGACCTGCATGCTGTGTTATCTAAGTATCGATGTCCTTGCAATCATTTCCTTGTGCATTTGAATCCGCGTCAGTTATTTTTTTTATGTTGACAAAATAAAATTAATCAATACACATATTATGATTTATATTTTTATGTGTTTTTTCTTCCTTAACAATGGACATCGTTCTCGTGGGGGAAAACGCAGATGGACAGCATCATGCTAACAAACCCTACAATGAGACGTTACTTTTTGACGCTAGATCTCCCTATCTAGCTTAATATGTACTTGGACATTTCATTTTCGTGCCATCTGCCATGGAGACGAACGCTACGGATTGTTTCCGAACAGGAGGATTTTTCAATTCCTGTCAGGAAATAGTTTGAAACAGCTTTATGGCTCTGAAATTTGGGGTACCAAAAATTGGGACGTGATTGACGATGTTTACGCAAAATTCCGGAAAGCCTCCTTGGGTCTCAGCAAAAGCTACACCTAAGTGTTTAGTTCTGAGAGGAGTGGGAAGAACTAATTCAAGTTCTGATTACATGCATAGTGTCATTAAATACACTAAGAAAATGAGACAGATTTTAAAAAAATGTTACAAACAATTACACTGTTATCGTGCTTGTGAATTAGACAGAGTCAACTCGGCTACTGAAGTTAAAAGCCTATTTTAAGTACTAATTAAAGTACTACATTACTTCTCAGTGAAGTGAAAAGTAGGCTTATTGATCACTTCGAGCAGAGCATAAAGGACTGGTGGGCCAAAACTCACCTCCTAAATTATCACAATTGTGTTAATGTGCTCGCAAAACAGTCTATTAATGTTTTCTTGTTAAGTTGGGAGACATCTGATTTGGTAGATCTAATTTCATAAGAGGCCACTAAAAGCTGTAGGACGGAGCTAATAAAAAAAAGGAACTTAATAGAGACAGTATGTGCAAATGACAACAGTGTACGCCCAACGGACTATCCCACTATATGTACGAGGGCTGTTCCGCGGAAAACCGGGAAGAGGTCCATAAAAGCAACAATCTTTGTCCTATTATAATAAAAATGTAACACATTATTCCTCAACATGTGCTTTTTTTCTCAATGTAATCACCATCCCGTTGGACGCATTTTCCCCATCGCTGGATCATGGAGAAGATACCCTCCCTGAAGAATTTTTCGTCAAGGGATTTCAATCAATTTTTCACGTCTTCCTCGAGGTCTTCGTCGTCGGTGAATCGCTGTCCAGAAATATGGCGTGTCATTCGTCCAAAAAGTGATAATTTGATGGGGCCAAGTCAGGACTGTGAGGGGGGTGTGGCAGAACTTCTCAGCCGAACCTTTGGATCCAGTCTTTCGTAGCGTTTGCGGCGTGCGGCGTTGCGTTGTTATGCTGCAAAATGACCCCGCTGGACAGCCTGGTCTTTTCCGGCGCACAACCTCTCTCAACTTATCAAGAGTCTGGCAGTATCTGTTAGCATCAACAGTTTGTCCTGGTTCCAGAATGTCAACAACCAGAACATCCTTAGCATCCCAGAAAACCGTGGCCATGAGTTTCTTCACCGATGGCTGAATTTTAAACTTTTTCGGGGGAGGTGAAGACGTGTGCTTCGAAACCATTGAATCCTTCTTCATCTCAGATGTCATGTGGTGTATCCAAGTCTCATCACCTGTAATAATGCTTCTCAGAAATGCTTCATCGTATTGTTAGAGGTCTCCAGATGTGTCCATGACTCCCGTGACAGCTTGGCAACAATGATTCAACAAAGTCTTGTGATCAGCTGTCAGCTCTTTGGGACCCATCAAGCAGACACCTTCCGATAGTGCAGCTCATCAAACACTATCCTATGGACAGTACTTTGAAATGTTTAGCAACTCGGAAATTTCGCGAATTTTTAGGCGCCTGTCTGTTGGAATGCGTTCGTTAACGCGACCCTTGTTGTCCTCAGTCTTGGCAAAAAAGCAAGGTCCTAGGAGAACTTTGTCATTGACATCCATATGCCAGGCTTGGAACTTACTACATCGCTGATATACCTGTGACTTTTCCATTACTTTCTCCCCATAAATTGACTTTGTTTCAGTGTGTATTTCTATAGGTTTGAGACCTTTTGCGGACAGAAACCGAATGACAGACCTCACTTCTACCCTTGAACAATTTTCCAAGGGGGTAGCCATCTTTGGAGAACTGTTGTGTTCGTTTGGTTTGTGTGATGCTCATGGTGCTCAATCGGGAAATTTCTAAATGATTGTTTTACAAGTGTGCTTTTACAGAATGTGAAAATATAGAATAGTTTTCAAATTACAGCCAGATTCCGGTTTTCCGTGGGACAGCCCTCTGCCTACGCTTTACTGCGACACTTCTTGCCAGCACTGTTGTTGGTTGAGATCATAGTCTGAAATCATGTTCAAAAATTGTTTGCTAACAACATATTTATTAAAACCCCTGTGAAAAAAGAAATGGCAAAATACATGTGAGAGACACATGGCTAGTTTTTTTTTAAATTAAAAAGTTTTAGTTAGAATTTTACGACACTTGTAACACACATCGGTCAAATAAAGGCCGAAGATTAGAGGAATTACAAGAGTGCAATATACGCAAAAATAAGGAGGGAGATAAGGGGGGGGGTGGATGTTTGATAGGAAAGAAGGAACATACCACACCTGAGCATCCGCCAACCACCAACAGACTCCTGACTAAAAGGCTGAAACAAAGTCGAAAAATAACTTAGGAAATACCAGCAGTAAAACACGAAGTAATCTTTCCAAATTTCCAAAGCCATGAAAACCTCAGCAATGCACTACACAACATTTTTTAAATTTTCTATGGAAAAGCAAAATAAAGCAAAACAGAATGATTAAAATTTAAATTAATGTAAGAGATTTGATATTATTGTGAATGGTAAATTCGCTGCAACAAAGAAAAATAGCTGTGATTTCGGCATGTTGCTATTCAGTTGGTAGTAATTCTTGTGTGTGTGTGTGTGTGTGTGTGTGTGTGTGTGTGTGTGTGTGTGTGTGTGTGTGTGTGTGTGCGTTTGGGTGTGTAATTACCAAAAAGTCATCAAATTAATAAAGATGCAATAAACGCTAGTTATAGTGCGCACTTGTATGAATCTCACAAGTCAAGCAGTAGTTTAAAAAAATAAAAACAATATATATATATATAAATACGAAATTTGTGAAAATGGCTTCAAGTTATGAAGTATGTCCATGTAAAAGCACGTTTAATTTCCACTGTAGCGTTCAATGGAATAATTGACTTAATTTGGCCACCAAGTCCTAAGTACAAACAAACACCTATTCCTAAGTGGGCCAAACATACTCTCCCAGACTTGCCCGCGGACCGCAGTTAGGTGACTCCTGGTGTGAGGTGTTCTCCCAACACTCAACCCAGTCGGGTGTGATCTACTAGAAATTAATGTTAAATCAGAAGTCCAGCGTTGAACCAATAAGTGATTACAATCTATGTGTAAGGAGCACTTGCAGTCGTTGTCTCAGCTCATAACACATAAGCAATCGATCAAGACACAATATTTTCGTCTGCCACGGCCCGTAGAAATAGTAAGGGTAGGCGATTTCTGTCTTTTTCTTCTACCAAAATCACCCCCCGAGTCGGATTGCTGGGGTTCTGACAATGCACAGCTGACCTCATGGTAAACTCAGACCATTGGTCATCTTTTAGGAAAGCCTTAGTGACAACCAGGATGATCCTCCAGCTACTTTGCATGGTGTCCATGATAGACGAGGGCACATCCAGGCAAGGCAAACTATCTCGATCCCTGACAAACACAGTCATGCCCAAACCTTCAAGGTATGGCAACAAACCAAAACAAGGGAAGTGGTGTCCTCTTCAGCGTAGCCGAAGAAACACACATAGGATAATCCGCCCGTGAGTTCATTTTGAAGTTGTAGTCCAAAAGCCTTAAAATAGTGACGCGGACGTAGTGACCGTGTCGCAGCACCAGCGCGGACGTAGTGACCGTGTCGCAGCACCAGTACCGTTACCAGAAAACCGATCAGCATAAGCGCAAGGAGTAGAAGAGAGAGCCAGAAATAGAACAGACCATAACACATTCGCCACAGAGCGCGGCTATCTCTGAATTCTGACGTGGAGCTCAAATGGCCCTGTTCCGTGACGCAAGTGTAGTTGCCTTGACTATCCAGCAGAACTGTTGTCTTCTGAAGCCATCGGAGAAAGGCAACATGATGTTGCCCTGGAGCACCACTTTGAATTCCGGTACTTTGAGCGCGTGCGCGTCAAGTTGCTGTCTTTGTCTGTCGCTGAGTTGGAGAAGGGCGTTGTACCCGAGGTTTAGATGTTGTAAATTTGGGGTAAAGGAAATATCGAAGGGAATTTGTTGAAATTTGTTGTGCCCTAAGTACAATAACTCTAGTTTTCCATTATCTAGAAA